AGTGAGGATGCAAGGTGTGATCCTGCTGGTGTTTGCCAAGTACTACCACCTGCCCTTCCTTCAGGACATCCAGACAGACTGCACCAGGACAGGGCTGGGGGGATACTGGGTGAGTATGGCCCTGGGGGGAGATTGCAAGGGGCTGGGTTCCCAAGGAGTCATGGGATCCTCTCGGTGCAGGGCAACAAGGGTGGGGTGAGTGTTCGTCTCTCCATCTTCGGCCACATGGTCTGCTTCCTGAACTGCCACCTGCCAGCACACCTGGAAAAGGCGGAGCAGCGCAAGGAGGACTTCGCCACCATACTGCACATGCAGCAGTTTGAGGGGCCCGTGGCCAACGGCATCCTGGACCATGAGTGCGTACCCCACCACTTTGCTTCCCAGTCTGGGCTCTAGTGGCAGTCCCAGTCCTTGACCACCTCCATGTAGGGTGTGGGGTCTCCCCTGCATCCCAGCACAGCTTGGAGATTAGGTCTTGCCTGCAGAGCTGGCCTAGCATGGACTCAGCATGGTGGGGTAGATGTTTATAGAGGGGTCTTGGTCTCACCACATTCAGGGCTGGTACAATTCCTGCCTTACTAGCACTCTTGGGGTTTGGGACCAGTCAGAGGGCCTAGCTCTGTCCCTGTGTCCTGGCTTTGTGATCTGAATCCAACGGGTGCCTCATGTGGAAACTTCCACCCTTGGTTTCAGTTTGGGGAAGTCTGGCCCATTTGGCTACCTACAGAATCCTGGCAGCTGGCCAGGCTGCTGGCTGAGCAGTGACTTGTGCCAGTGTTCCCAAGAGCACCTGTGCTGTGGGGTAAGGCTGCCCCCAGGCTGGGGACATCTTACCCCTGCTGTCCCTGGCTCTGGTAGCCTCAGCCCTTTCAGCCCGTTGCCCTTGCTGCCATCCACAGCCTCGTGTTCTGGTTTGGGGACCTCAATTTCCGCATTGAGAGCCTGGACATCTGTTTTGTGAAGTATGCCATTGACAGCAATGTCCTGAGCCAGCTCTGGGAGAAGGATCAGGTGAGGGATGAGTGTGCTGCCAGCCTACACTGGAACCCTAGCAGTGATCGACTCTCCCCAAAACTGCCCATGTGGCTGTTGGTCAGGGCGTGTCCTCTTGCAACCCGTAGGACACAAAGAGCCCTGGCTCTCATGTCTCTGGGGGAGGAAGGGACAGCAGAAACCCAGGTCAGTCTGGATGGAGCTGGGCACTCTTCCCTCATGAATGTGTGAAGGAGAGCTGAGGCATTGAGTCTACAGGCTAGCTGCTGGCATAGACAAACGCTGAGAGTTGTGGGAGCTGGCAGGAATGGGACTGGGATTTCACAGTGTGTGAGGGTGGGGAGATTATGGCAGGATTTGTGGAGGGGTCTGGCTATGGGGGTTGCTGTGCTCCTTGATGTGCTCTCTTCCCCACAGTTGAACATTGCCAAAAGCACGTGGCCTGTTCTCAGAGGCTTCCAGGAGGGACCCCTGAACTTCCCACCCACTTTCAAGTTTGATGTGGGCACCAACAAGTATGACAGCAGGTAGGAGAGCAGAGCTGGGCATGAGGTGGGGCTGAGAGATGCAGGAGCTCTGGGGCTCAGAGCCAGTGTAGGTGCTGGTGTGGATGGGTGGGGAGAGCAGCCGTGCTGGGGTGGGCACAGGCTGGACTGTGATGTGACGGCAGTGCTGCTGCCAGCACAGGTCTGTCCCAGCAGTTGTGCTGAGTGCCAGGATGAGCCACATCCTCTGCCCACATGTGCCATAGTGCCAGGGGGAGGCAGTTTGTATCAGAGCCCACTGCCCCTGCCAGGCAAGAGATGCTCTTCTGTGCCCTGCAGTGCCAAGAAGCGAAAACCTGCCTGGACTGACCGCATCCTGTGGAAGATAAAACCCCCCAGCAAGGGGTTGGGCACAGGTGGGCACCGGCCCAGCCAGGGTGTGCTGTCAGTGAGCCAGCTGTGCTACTGCAGTCACATGGAATACACCGTCAGCGACCACAAGCCAGTAGCTGCCATCTTTGCCGTGCAGGTGAGCACTGTCCAGGGCTGCTGGGAACACAGGCAGGAGCTGCAGGGGTGGAATGCGCAGCCTGTGTGGGGAGCTTACTCAGGTGTGGCGAGCTCAGCTACCTTGCCTCTTACTGGGGGCTGCTGTGGGTATGTGCATGGGGTCCCTGGGCAGCAGAGGCAGCTGTTTGCCATGCCCTTTCTCTGGCAGTTTGCTTCCAAGGTGGACAAGCCCCTGGTTGAGATTTATGTGGCTGATGAGTGGAGCAGGCCTGAGCAAGCAGTTGTCAGGTACAAGATGGCTGTTGGCTTCCACCGGAGCTCCTGGGACTGGATAGGACTCTACCGGGTAGGGGCTTGGGGGCTGCTGGGGCTGGAGGGAGTGGGGAGCACTGCACAGCACTGTGGGGTCCCTTCTGAGTTACCCCCCACCGGTGAACATGGTGAGGGCATGGAGCTGTGCCCTCCCTTCCCCTGACATCATGATGTGGTCCTGCTTCAGGAGGCTCTGGTCCAGCAGTTCCTCCTTCCCCTGCTCTGTGGGCCCCACAGCACCCCAGGGCACACCTGCAGGGGGGTGTAAGGCAGCTTTGGGTTACCCTCTGTGAGCAGAGCCAGCTGAGCAACAGGAGACTGAAGAGTGACTGTGCTGAGTGGGGCTCACATTGTCCCACTCACTTGTATTGTCCCATGTACTGTGCACAGGTGGGGTTTCGGCACCCTAAAGACTACGTGTCCTACGTCTGGGCCAGGAGTGATGATGGGGAGCGCTGCCTGGAGAAGCAGCTGTGTGCACAGGTGAGCTGGGGCCAGCCCTGCTGTCTTGCTGGCACTTCTGCCCCACACTAGAGGGATAATCGCCCCTTTGTGCCCCTGGATGGGGGAGGCAGGCACCTCGTTATTGCTTTTTGCTAAGTATGGGGCAGGCTCATGGTATTGGCAGCACAGATTTGTGCTTTTGGCTGGGGTTGGAGGTAGCGGGGGGGGCACCCCTGTGCCAATCCTGGTGGCCATCAGGTGTCTCTGGGCTGCAGGTGATGTTCTCTGAGGAAGCACTGCCCAAGGGGAATGGAGAGTACATCCTTGGATACTACAGCAACACCTCCAGTAGCATCGCTGGTGTGACTGAGCCCTTCCAGGTGAGCAGAGCCAAGAGGTGAGGGGGGATGGATATGGCGGAGGGGGGTGTCTCTGGATGGGGGAGGCCAGCTGGTGTGGTACCCAACAGTGCCATGTGAGGGTCACCTAGCAGTGCTGATGCAGGGGTGCAGATTTCCCTACCCAGGTCAGAGGAGGGCAGCAGCTCTACAGACAGCTCAGGCAGCAGCTCAGAAGAGGATGACAGTACACTTGTCCTCCTGGCTCCCAAATCCCGTAGTCCCAGCCCGGGCAAGATGAAATGTCACCGGAGCCGAAGCCCCAGCCTGGCCAAGTTCCAGGGCCTCATCCTGCGGCCATCAAGCCGGGACAGGGGTACAAGCCGCAGTCCCTCACCCCAGAGCCGTTGCAGCCTCCCCAGGAATATCCCCACCATCCATCTGCCCCATGAAGAGCTGGGGCACCATGAAGTTAAAAGCAAGGAGCTGGGACAGGCAGCTGAGAGCCCAGACAGCAGCTCATTCTACCAGACTGTGCAGGAGCAAAGTGGCCTGCGGCGTGTCTCTGCTGACGGCTCCCTGAGCAGGGCTGACCCCCGGAGCCTGGGCCTGCTGCCTGCACTGCGCCTGGAGATGATTGAGCAGGCCCTGGGCCGGCGGCAGGAGAGTGCAGAGCAGGGCCATTATCCCTGCCGGAGAATGAGCACCACCAGCCCCCCAGGCTGTGGCCCCTCCCCAAAGGAGGGGCAGAGCCCCCAGGAACTGGACAGACATAGCTGTGCCATGGGCCGCTGATGCAGTGGCTCCCTTCCTCCTCCCCATAGCGCGCTTGCTGTGTGCTTTCCTCTGCCACTTCCCTGCTGAGACACTCCCTCCCTTATTTATTGCAGTGACTCCTCACCCCTGTTGTGTGCCTGGCAGGTAGAGGCCCCCCCTTGCTGCCCCCCCACAGCCCAAGCTCCTGCCCTGGGCTGTGAGGTGACCACACAGGGGAGGGTGGGCAAAGTTGGTCTAATGCGGTTTGGGGAACCTCTCATGAACTTCCAAGTGCAGGACTCTTGTCCCATGGGAGGAGTGCTGGCCTCACACCTGAGGTGGCACAAAAGGCCAGGGCAGGGCTCTGGCAGGAATGGTGACAGGCACAGAGCAAGGACCACCACAAGGTAGCCTGGAGATCGGAGATCAAAGCTTGCTCCCTCCTTCCCTGCTCTACTACTGTGCCTCAGCCTGAACATAGCGCAAGTGACAAAATAAATGATCCTGCCCACCCCAGCTGCACTGTGCTCACTGCTGGGGGCAGGATCACCCCTGGGGTGGGGGCCACAGTGTCAAGAGGGGACAGCAGGCTCAACTCTTGTACCATATACCATGCTCTGACCACCCACCCTTTATTTTTTCTGCTGCATTCAGGTACTGACCTCAACCCTCCTACCCTGCAAGAGGGTCAGGATTACACCTCACTGCTCAGGCCCCCCAGTTGAAGGGTCACCAATCTAGGGGTGGGGTGCCCTGCCATCCTCCCTGCCCCAGAGCACACCAGGGAAGGACAATGAGTTTCCTCTTTCCTGAGCCCTCCTATTTCTTTCCCCTTGCTTTTGATACTCATGGATGATACTCCTTTAGAGGCTTGTCAGTCCCTCTGCCTGCTCTGGATGTGGTCCCCAGCTCCATGCTGTCATGCCAACAGCCATGCTCAGTGCCATCCTTTGACTTGAGGACCAGACCCCAAGCAGCTCTCAGCTGCTGCACAGCACATCTTCCTCCCCAAGGCAGTGCTGCTTGGGTGTTATCAAAGTACTGTGTGGGGCTAAGCTGGTGTCTGCTCTACAACCAGATGCTGGCACTGCTCACAGAGGGTACCTCCCCTGGCATGTGTCTTCCACTGTAGATGCTTGGCCTTGGAGCTCACACGCAGAGGGCCCCAGCGTCTTAGAATCTTTTTGAGCTGCTGTGCCGGTACAAGCACAGCCCTGGTCATCGTGGTACAGCTGCTGGAAAAGCAAAGCTGTGAGCATCGCTCTAACCCTGCAGCACCAACAGCCACTGCCCCTGCCCTGCAGCCTGGTTGTGGCACAGCATAGCAGGGGCCAATGCTTGCACTACTGGTTTCCTGCCCCACCCAGGCCCTGGCCTCTTCCCCACGTACCTGTGCTGTGACGCCCTGCCTGGGCTGCAGGCAGCAGGCAGTTCTAGCACAAAGCAGTCCATGGTGATGCGGTCAGCCAGGACAGCCACGTCCATGGCGCTGCAGTCCCTTGCCCTGTGGAGGCACCGTGCCAGCCTGCAGGCACAGGAGGGCACATGTCACCAGGTGCTGGCCAGGGCAAGCATCCCACCTCCTCTGATCCCCAACTGTATGCACACAGTGGCCTTTTCCTCCTGGACTCGCACCTGCGTGTGCAGTTGCAGTGGAAGAGTGTCCGGCTGTCCACGTTGTGCAGCTGGTACCTCACCTCATGGGGTGCAATCTGGTGCTCACACTTACGCAGGTGCTTGCTGCACCTGCACCCCCTGCCCGGGCCTGAGGACAGTGGGGAGGTAATGGGCACCCCCAGCACATGACCCCACCAGCCTGAGGCCTTGGGCCACCCCAGCTGCGGTGTGCACATGCTGCCCACAGCACCAGCTCACCCTGCTGCCTGCGCCCCTTCACAGCTGGTACGGGGGTGGCTCCACGCTGCGCTGTGGCTGGGCTGGGTCCAAGGCTGCCACACCGAGGACGTGCTGAGATTCCAGCTCCTTGCTCTGGTCCAAGCAAATTCTGTCCTGACACTGTGGATGCTGTTGCACGGCCAGGCTCTAGCCCCCACCGCACTGCTGGGTGCCTGGTTGTGAGCTCAGCCTTGTCCCCGGCCAATGCAGGGGTACCTGGGCCCTGTGGCTGCTGGGCTGTCTTAGGTCTCCGTGCCTGGCGGCGCCCAGACTTTGCCCTCAGTTCCTGTCGAAACCGCTTACGCCCTGTTCTAGAGAAATACCTTGCCTTGCCCGGGGGCTGCACAGTGGGGCTGCCCCTCTCCTCTGCTGGTAGACTGGGGTGGTACTGATTCTGCTGCACCATCCTGGCCAGAGGCACTACTCCATAACGCTCACATCTGGGGACACCACGTGTTGTGAGGTCCTGCGCACCAACCGAGTCAGTGCCCGAGGAGACAGCCGGGCAGGAAACGCTGAGGGCCGGGGCACCCCCGGGAACTCACCCGCCCCACCAGTGCCACTGGATGCACTCCTCGCTCTCTTCCAGCACAAAGCACGGCACCTCCAACAGGTTGAAGAACGTGACGCCGATGATGTTGGAAACGGTGTCGTTGATGGCCAGCAGGCACTGCCGGAACCTGCGGGCAGGGGACCGGTGAGGAAGGCGGGCCCCCAAGCTCCCCGTTTCCTCACGCCCTGGGCTCACCTGGTGTCGCAATCGCAGTGGGACACGGTGTGCAGGCGATAGTTGCGGATGCCGTAATTGAACTGCAGCGCCGTGATCTGCGCCCAGCACTGGTCATGCTCCCGACAGCACCGGTCGGGGCCGCGGAAGAGCCCTGCGGAGGCGCCGATGAGCCGGAGGGAGACCGGGTGCTCCCGCCGCCTCCCGCCGCTCCGTACCCAGCTCGCTCCAGTTCCCCGCCGAGTTCCCCGCGCCGCACCACAGCGTTCCTGGCAGCGTCCAGCCCCGGCGGCGGCGGCGTTGCGGTCCCGGCGGCACGGGGTCGGTGCAGGCGGCACGACGCCGCCACAGCGCGGACAGGGCCCCGCGCAGCGCAGCCCCGGGCGCGGCAGGCGGGCGTTGCGCGCAGGCGGCACGGAAGGCGCGGGCGAGGCGCGGATCGCGGCGGGCCCAGCAGGCGCGGAGGCGGCCGGGGGCAGCCCAGACGCTCTCGACCAGCGCGGAGCCGGCGCTCAGGAACGCCACGTACCGCGCGCCGCCCGCGCCCGCCGCCTCCCGCGCGCACACGGACCCGCCGGGCCAAGCGCGCGCGCATGCGCACAGCGCCGCACAGGCCACAACCGCGCGCGCCCACATCCCGCGCGCCACTCCGCCCCCCCCACCTCACCCGGCTTTAACCCCGGGCCCGACGGCGAGCACGGCGCTGATTGGCCCGCGCCGCGCAGGCCCCGCCCCGCCCCGGGCAGAGCGGCGGGACGCAGCCGGGGCTCTCGACCCCGGCTCCTCACCCCGGGCACCGCCCCCGCCCGGCGCAGCCCCCATCCCGGGCACCCCCTGCTACACGCACCCGCCGCACGCGCTCTCTCCCTGGGCACTCACGGGTGTGCTCTCACGTGCACGACCCTGGATGCAGGTGTGTGTGCAGATGTGCACAGGTGCCTGCACGCTCACCTTGAGCACACGTGTACACTCGTGTGTGAGTGTATGCCCATGTGCCGTGCCTGCCCAACCATGTGTGTGCCCTGCACAGGCTATAGCCATGTCCCTGCTCAAGTGTCCACTGTGTGCAGTCAGGACACAGAGCACTGTCCAGCCCCTGCAGAAGCTGCCCGTGGCCCAGGATCACGCCTGTTTGGGAGCTGAGGATCCCTGAGACGGAGCCACCACAGCCCCCAGGGCAACTCCTCCTGTGACCTGTACTGAAGTGTGACTCTCACAGTACAAAGGTGTTTCTTGATATTCAAAGGAACCTGCCATGTCCTAGTTTGTGCTTATTGCATTTTCTTCCAGTACCGGACATCACTGGGAAGAGACGAACTCTCATCTCCTTGCACCCTCCCTGCCTGTGTATTAGCAGGATCCCTGAAAATTCCTCTGCTCCAGCCTCAGCAGACCCTGCTCCTGCAGCCACTCCACACAGTGCAGGTGCTCCAGTCGCTCCACCACCATCACAGCACTTTGCTGGACTCACCCCAGCATGGCTGTGCCTCGCCCAGGTTATCCCAGCTGGAGCAGCACAGCCTCCCCACTGGTGCTCCCTGCCTGCCTTTGCCTGGTGCCATGAGGACACATCCCTGCCTTCTGCTCAGCTGGTGCCCAGCAGGATCCCAAGGATCCCTGCGGAGCTGCTTTCCAGCTGGTGGCACAATTTATGCTGGTACGATATCCCCCTGTGAATCAGGATCTCTCTACCCTGGAAATACCTTGGGAGGGTAGCTGGACTGTGGGGCAGAGCTTATCCCTCCACCTATCCCAGAGCCCAGTGCCCCAGGGAAGTGTTGTTTAGGGTGGCTAGTGTGCCTGGGAATCCTGCTGCATCCCAAAAGGATGCTGGCCCCGCTCTGGAGAATTGGCCCACTGCAGTCCAGATGCACCTCTCAGTGGGAAGGGAAGGGAAGGGAAGGGAAGGGAAGGGAAGGGAAGGGAAGGGAAGGGAAGGGAAGGGAAGGGAAGGGAAGGGAAGGGAAGGGAAGGGAAGGGAAGGGAAGGGAAGGGAAGGTTCCTCTGGTGTGTTTTTTTCTTCCATGGCTAGTCTGGAGTCATGTCAGTGTCCAGGCTGATGCTCTGCCCTGCTGGGGTTCTGGGGGGGGGGCACGGGAGGTGGTCTGTGGATCCCCATGTGCCCTAACCCTAACTGGGAGACACTGGGGCCTGATAGATGGTGCTTGGCAGTGTGGGCTTATCTCACCTTATCAGGATTTCCCTGACAGCAATGCACTGCAGAAAGAGCAGAGTCCACCCCATGGCTATGATAGGGCTGCTGTGTGCCACCCATGACATCACCCCACATGTCACATGTCCTGGGAGCTGTGTTCATGAAGCTGGATGAGGGCTGGCAGAACTGGCATGCCAAGGCTGGAGAAGGGCTCTGCTCGGGAGTACCCCAGATGTGGGAGAACCAGCTTTCCACCCGTAGGGATCCACAGAGTCCTCCTGCCATGGGCTCTGCCACACTGTGCTGTGTTCCTGTCCCAGTGCCCCCGGGGCTGCCCTGTGCATGCTTTGTGACCCCTCATGTCCAGCACCCCGGGGCTGCCCTGTGCCTGGGCTGTGCTGTCAGCCCTGTGGGGCCCCACAGGGAGGGATCCATGGGGCAGCACAGGACAGCCTTGGCTGACAAGTAAATGACTGTGTGAGAGACAGAAAACCCAGTTTGGGTTTGTCTGGAAGATAACAGGGGATAAGGAGGGACGCCTAATGCTCTGGCCTTCAACGCCCAAGCAACGAGTGGCTTACAGGGCTGGCCCTGCAGCAGACCTCCCCACGTATAATCATGCAGCTACTGCCCTGCTGCCAGCTGCTGGCACAAGGCTGGTGTCTGGCTGGGCAGAGCCCCAGTGAGGACATGGGGCTGAGCCCTGGGCTGCCCAGCTCAACAGGCAGCACTGCCAAGCCTGCACCCAGCCCCACTGACGTGGCTCAAGGCTGTAGACAAGGCCAGCGTGCGGCTAAGCTCCCAAGGACTCAGGGCTGAGCCTGCAGTGGGGGAGAACTGAGCTCTGGTGAAGATGCCAGCAGTCATGGTCCATGCAGGGAGTGGCTCCCAGCCTGGGTCAGCAAGAGTGCAGAAATGGGCTGGTGAAGCAATTCTTTCCCCCCTTCTTCTGCACGCTATGTTCCATTTGGGGCTCCCCAGTCCAAGAAAGATCCCATGCTGGAGTGAGGCTGGTAAAGGCTGCTGAGCTGGTCAGGACTGGAGCTAGGCTTACTTGGGCAGAAGAAGAGGAGGCATCAGGCTTCATCTGCCCTGAACGCTGAGTCATGGCTGGACTAATTTCTTCTCCTTTTGCACTCCTCAGGCCAGCATGGGCATTGGGGTGATGCCTCCTATAGAGACATCCTGCAGGCAGGGGCTGGATGAACAGACTGTGTGAGTGGCTGCCAGACCTGGAGCCTCATCCGTATCTCAGTGCTGACACACCCCCAGATGTACCCATGTCCAGCCTTGCCCTTCACCCCAGCCAGCAGCAGCACTGGCTCCCCATTGTGTGTGTATCATGCACGCTGCTGGCCTGCTCGTGTCACCTGGGGACAGGCACCCTTGGAGGAGATACACAGCTCTGCCTTCTGGAAAAGGAATTGCTGCAGCACTGGATACAAGCCTGTCTGCTTTTTACTGATCTAAGCTGGAACTTACAGCTTTGTGGAAGGGAGCAATAGAGCATCCAGGGCATCCATGGCTCTGAACATGAAAGGCAGGACAGGGAAACAACTTCATGAGAAAAAATGTCTTGTGAAGGTTGGAAGACAAAATTCAAGTTGGAATGAGCAAAGGAGTTATTCCACGCCTGACTTGAGATTATCAGTTCAAGTATTTTGCAGACCCAGGGAGACCCTTGAGGGCTCCTGGGGACTCTGGCATGCATCCCCATGTCCCTCCACACCATGCTGGTTGGTGGGCACACCCCAGGCTGGCAGCCAACACAGCCACCACCTGTCTGCCTAGGAGAGCCTGGGTCAAGCTGTGGTCCCATGTGACATCTTGGTCCCATCTGGATCCCATCCCCTTGTGGCACCAAGACACCACACGAGTGCTACCCTCTCCCACTTGTGTTACTTGGGACCCTCATCACACAGCAGCCAGAGGTGCCCCAGCCTGCTGCATCAGGCTACTCAGGCTTTCCATCAGCCTGATGGAGATGGCAACACTGGGATGTGGTGGGAGTAAGGCACTTTTGCTGCTTTTGTGGCATTTGCCTGCTCCCTGGCTGCCCTGTGGGGCCAGAGGCCAGGGTGGTGGGCTTAACTCACCTGCACCCAGCAGTCCTGGCTCTAGGGAGAGCACCGGTTCAGGCTCGGGTGGCACTGGTGCCCATGGGTGCACAGGCCACCCTGGGCAAAGACAGCCCGTGTGCCTGGCCCCAGCCTCTGTGAAGGCTGTGCTGGTTGTCATCATGTAGCATCTGCCCAGATTTCTTCAAGGAAAGAGACATCCCTCTAGGATATATTGTCTAATTTTATAGGGGGAAGGGACTACAGGGGGAGACTGTTCTTCTCTCTTGCCAGATTCTCACTGCAGAAGCAGAGCTGGCTCCATCAGCTATTTTCAGTATGAGGCTGGGCTGTAGGGACAATGGAGGTGGTCAGGCTCTGCACATCTGTGGGTCCTGCAGCTCACAGGAGCCATCTCCTGCTCTGGGTCCTCAGCCACAGCTGCAGCCTCCTCAAGGTTTTTTCCAAGAGTCATAGAGCATTCTGAAGGCCCTGGGCAGCCTTGTCTGGGTGACCCTGACTGAGCCTGGGACTAGAAAACCTCCACCCTCAGCAAGGAGTTGCACCTTCCTTCCAGCAGGAAATAACTAGCCTTGTCCTATAGGAAAATACAAGGAGAGTATTTTCTCCAAGACTTAAGGAACACAAAGAAAACCACCCCAAAACTACCACAAGGCACAGAGGTTCCTTATGAGAGGATGGTACTTTCCTCCTACTGATGGCAGGAGGAAATTCCTACCCTTTTCTGTTTTCCCTTAGTCCCTAGGCATTTCCCCATGCCATTGTGATCAGTGCACCTGGTTTTACTGCCCTGGTGAACATGTCCCTTTAAATTATGGGAACTACCCAGGAGGAAGCAGCTCTGCAAGGAGTAGTACCTGACTGGTGCATATCAGTGCACTCCAGGTGAAGGTCACGTACGTGATGAATCAGCAGGAGCTGGGCTTACCAAGAGCAGGAGGAGCAGCAACTCAGAGCAGGGACCCCCTTCCCAGCATGCGTGGGGGCTTGGCAGGAGCTGGGGGCTAGCACGCTGGGGAGAGGAAAGTTCATGGGGTTGAGGCATTTCTGGAAAGCCCAGTAACTTTTCTTTCAATGTCCAAGGAAAACTGTGGGCTGGTATTATCATCTCTTTGGAAATGAGATGAAGGGACCAAAGCAGTTTGACAAGAGAAAAAATTCCCACATGCTTCCGATTTCCTTCCCATGGTGTGCAACAGATGTGACTGAGCTCTGCCTGTGACAAATGCTGGGAAGGTTTGGGTGCCTGCAGCGGAAGTGTGTACGGCACTGGGTGAATCATTTACTGCAAAGTCAGGTGAACAAGCCACACTCGTGTGTGTTGTTACTCCCAGGTGGCAGAGCAGGGCCCTGCACACAGCCAGCTCCACCCCAGCACCCCATGGGGGCTGGCAGGGCTGCAG